AACATATCGCTGATCTCTATCCTATTATGCAAATTGATGATGCTTATTTTAAAGGTATTTATTTTCTCAACCTTTTTTTTGACTAAAATAATTCAAATATTAACATGTTTTTTAATTTTGTTACTAGTAACTGGATATGATGTCATCACGCCTGGATCTCTTGTTACATTGGTGGTTAAAGTTAAATACTTAGATTCAGCTTCAGAAGCAAACTATAGAGAAACTAAATTGGCTGAAGCCAAAATTGCCAAAGATAACAAAGATCAGAAAAATGATGATAATAAAGATCAGAAAAAAGATGATGATGATGATGATGATGAGAAAGGCGAATATCTTGACAGCGAGGATGAGTTACTTTATGGTGGAGCAAAAAATACTACATCTGATGAAAAAAGTCCTTTCGTGCATGCTCCACACTTATCAAAAGACAAAAAACCTTATTGGTGGATTTTTATGGCTGATGATAAAAGAGATAAAATTATGATTGAGCCCATTAAAATAACTGACATTGTTACTAGTAAAACATTTAAATTCCAATTTGCTGCCCCTCGCGATCCAGGATTATATACTTATGTTGCATATATTAAGAGTGATTCATATGTTGGAACTGATATTAAAAAGGAACTACGTGTAAGTCTTTCATACTAATATCTTATTAGATCAATTATTATATCAATTATTATAATTTATTTATTCTTTTTCTTCTAATATATTAGCTAGATGTGAAAGATCTTTCTGTGCTTCCACCCGAAAATGAAGTTGATGATGATATATCAGAACCTGAAGAAGATTCATTCGCTGGACAGTTAAAACTAGCAAGAGAACAAGGAATTTACTCAATGATGGCTAGTGCAAATGGTAGCGAAAAGAAGAAAGAAGACAGCGATAGTAGTGATGATAGTGATGATGAGTAAAATTTAAATTATGGTAAAATATATAAATTTGGAAATGGTTTAATGTGGTTTTCTTTAAGTCAGGTTAATTTGGGGGGTAACTCTGTTAGATAAAAAGGATTTGTCATATATTTTACCTGATCAAAAGTTTAAACATTAATAGAAGACATAGTCCATCTTCAAAAAAAAAAAAAAAAAACAATTCTTATTAACACTTCCTAGTGATAGATGTTAACAACTCAAGCAATATCTATACAAAAATTTGTTTATATATTACATTGATTAACATTGGTAACATGTCATTTCAATCAATTTCTTCTGAAAAAAAATATCAATAAAGAAGCAATTGTAATAGACAAAATTAAATCAATACTATCATAATGATAAGTGAGAACGTTAGTTACAAGTAATCCATTTCTTTTATTCACAAAAGTTTGACTTCTGTATTTTCATGGAAGATCCATACTGGTAATATTAAAAATAGTATTAGACCCAATAATGAAATAACATAACGATGAATTATCGTTATACCAATATCAATCATGAGATACTAAATATTTTCATCAATTAAAGTGCAAATTGTTTTTATTTCAATATATATAATTGTAATTGTATCGTAGTTATAAAGTAACAAATAAAAAATTTATTATAAAAAAAAAAAAAAAACTACGTATAAACATATACAAAATATTTAAAGCAATTAAATTTATTTATTGAATTTCTTTAGTCGACACAAATAAACCAATAAACGATAAATTTCAAAAGTAAACTTTTAACCCAATAAAAAAAAATTTATCCTTTTTTAGTCTCTTATTATCGCATGTTGACATGCAACTTTCTGGAGTACATCGATCACTTTAATTAAATACTCATATCCCAGCATTCTTTTTTAAAATTAACTCTCTTCAGGTGATCACATGTATTCTATCGTCAAAAATGTAACCAGAAGCTCGGGAGCGGTCATCAAGGGGCATCATGTTATATAATAACTTGAGATTAATTATTCATCGATGAGTAACTGATTAGCGAATAATAACAAAACAAGATTGACCTTTATTAAGTAAAATTTTCCTGTAAATTTCGTGTAGCGTTACTATGTAAAATCAATCGTCGTGACAGTGAATAAAATTAACCAATCATATAACCATGATAGTTTAATTAGAAAAAAATATAAATAGGTAATTCATAATTAGAAATTAAATCTAATGGATACTTACACTGGCACTATTAAACCTGAGCTGAGGATTCAAGAACTCACTGCGGAAAAAGTCAAATTTATACTTACAAATGTGGATCTGAGGTATTGTTTGTGATTCAGCTACGAGTAAGAGATTTAAAATTCTAATACTTTGCACATTTCAGCATGGCAAATGCTCTGAGACGCATAATGCTTTCTGAAATAGCTACTATAGGTAAAATATACTATCAGAGTATCTAATGTATATTTAAACTTCTTATATTGATCCATATTATTTTGTCGGAAAACAGCTATTGATATGGTGGAATTTGAACTAAACACCTCTGTGTTAGCTGACGAATTCATTGCACATCGTTTGGGTTTAATACCATTAGACAGCACTGAGGCAGAAAAAATCAAATATTCCAGGGCAAGTGAAATTTTAGATTTAAAATATCTTTCTTCTTATTTCTCTCTAGATCATATTTTAAATCCTGATTTTCAAAAAGGAGTGCAATTGTAACGGGGCATGTAAAGAATGTAGTGTTGAATTAAATATGCATGTAAAGTGTACAGAAGAAGATATTACCAAAGATGTTACTAGTCGAGATCTAGTCAGCAGCGATCCACGTTTTACGCCCATTCAAGAAGGTATTTACTCAATTTACGAATCGGCTTTTAATATTGGTTGAATTTTATTGTATCACTCATGATTTAATAATTTAGGACCGAAGGATCCTGGTATTCTGATTGCTAAACTTCGCAAAGGTCAAGAAATTAAAGTGAAATGCATTGCCAAAAAGGTTTGCCAAATACAACTTAAATTTGTTTATGACTTTCGAAAAAGTTATATAAACATACAGTGATTCGTTTTAGGGTGTTGCAAAAGAGCATGCTAAATGGAGTCCTTGCGCTGCTGTTGCTTTTGAATATGATCCATTTAATAAACTTAGGCATACAAAATATTGGATTGAAGAAGACGAACAGAGAGAATGGTATGATAAAACATAGAAACAGAGAGAAACAATATAGCATTAAAACTTATTATTATTATTATTATTTCTATTTAGGCCGGCAAGCAGAAATGCAGCAGAAGATTTTGCTCCAGGAGACGGTGAAGGTATATATAATCAAACATCTTGATGATTCATTATCTTGCTGACAATGTTACATATTCAATATTTTCTAGCATTCGATTTCAATGCCAAACCGAATAGATTTTATTTTGAAGTCGAAGTAATTAATATATAAAAAAAATTCGTTAAAATCTTTTATTTTATATATTAACTCTTAATTTAACATTTTAGACCATCGGATCTATGAAACCCGAAGATATTGTTATGAACGCTTTTAAAAAGTTGTTAGAAAAAATTTCATCAATTCAGATGGGTATGTCAACAAACGATGGCGTGTCCGGTAGAGATCAACCAAGAGAATCTTATTAAAAGATGAACACTATATATGTGCAGGGTATGTTTCACTTTCATTTCCTAATGCGTATGTTTGTTATATTTGATAGAGAATTTCATTAACAATTGAATAGAAAAAAAACAGCAGTTAATTAATCAACAATCAAATCAACCAAATACATCTTACACCGCTTATTCATTATCAAAAGTTGATTGATTACAATTTATGTATTTTTTTTTAGAGCATAAAATAGAAAATTAGGTATTTGTATATCAATGATAATCCAATTATTATTGCATAAAAGTTTTTCTAGTTCATTATAAGTAATCCGATTATGGGTTACACGATTCATCAACGTTTAACATCCATAGATATATACGTATTGTTTAATAAAGTTTAATAAATTCGCCACGCGAGACATAAGATCTAATAATCGTTAAAGCTTCGGCAGAAAAGTAGAAAAAATTTGTAGATTGAATAAATAATTTAAGCTACATATGCATTTTCAAGGAGGTTTGTGTATCATGCAATATTAATAATCGGTTTATAATATGATTGTCAGGTCCTTGTATTGAATCTTGTATTCTTATAATGGCCTTGTATTGCTTACCTTTTTTTAAATATAGAATCTTGCTCATTTTTGTCAATATCCAATTAACATTGTGCAACATTTTTACTATCGTAAATTTAACGTATATTCCGAAAATATTTGCGATACACATATGACTTTTTTTCAGAATGCATTATCAAAAGGAGTAATGTACTACCTTGATAGACAAAAAAAAAAAACTTAACGAACCCTTCTCTAAAGAGCTGACAAAATTTAAAGTCGCCACTTGTGCTCGACTATTGTTTCATACCTGATATTGTGTATTATTACTATATACGTATTTATATTTTTGCAGTTTTATTCCGAGTTATGTTTGTATAATAACAACAAAATAAAAAACAATATAACAATAAAATAATTCATAAAAGTCACGTAATTCACATATTACTAGTTTCTATATGTTACAACGGTTTTAATTACTTCTCTGCGATCTTTACAATCTTTATTTTTCGTTTTTTTTTTCATTCTTTATACTTTTTCATTCAAAGTACACTTATAATTCTATGGCATTCTAAGACAGAAATGCTAACTAGACATCCTTCGAGTATCAATTTAAATACAGACAAGGATGAAAAGGACGTTTCCATTATTACCAACACCACCGATATCGGCACTATTACACACAACAATATAATTTCGACAGAGAAAGCTGTTAAACAAGTAATAACCGTTGCAAAACTCGTGGGTGAAAGCTTTAATATAACAATGTCCACTGGTACTGACGAAGTTTTAAACGGTAAGAATCACTTAATTCCCATAATAATAATAATAATAATAATAATAATAATAATAATAATTTGATGATACGATTAAAGGCGAGACAAAAGAATTTTTTGAATCAAATCTTTTGCCTACTAATAAAACTAAAGCAAACAGATCATCAAAAGAATATAGTTTAGGATCGGGTACAAGCAGTAGTTCTATGGATGATAAAGAGGAAAAATTAAGCAAAGAAGAAGTAAAGGATACTTCATCTTTTATTTTGGTTGGGGAAATAAATGATTTCGAATCTTCATCCGGATCTGGTGGTACTAATGAACCGGATTCACCCCCTTTAAGTATGTCAATATCTAACGTTGTTGAACTTGAAAGAGGAAAGGGCTCTTTAAAGCGAAAAAAATCAAATCGTTCTATATTTTCAGTATTGTCTTTATCCAACAAAGATACAACAAATAAGGGTTCTTTATCAGAATCTGAGGGTGATCCTCTAAAAACGACATCACCCAAATCACCATCGAAATCTGAAAGAATTTTAGGACGTTCGGGGTTTTCCTCTTTATCTATAAGAAATCGTCGTTCTAAATCCACTATATCCTTAGATGATAAATTACATATTTCTTTATCACCTGAACATTCTAAATTAGGGTCATCTGATATTCCCGAAAAGACTTCAAAAGTTGGAAAACTTCTTGGTTTGACTCCAATGGAAGAAAGGATATTATTGGATAAACCTTCGAATGGTAAAATTAATAAAAAGATGCGCAGTCCTCCCGCTTCATCTATTGATGAAAAAAATAAAATTAATAACCAGATCATAGGTGGAAGTAGTAATAAAGTTAATAAAATTCTTGGCGTATCAGACATACATGATGATCCATCGACATTAGATACAAAATCAAATAAGGCAGGAAAAATTCTTGGATGGGATGATAATGAAGTAGTTAAGAAAGCATATATGGAAAAAGTAGTATCTGAATTTAGATCTTCTCGTGCGAACGTTAATAGTCATGTCACTGTTGCTAGTATTCGTAATACTTCAGCATTTACTGGACATTTGTCAAAATATATAAACACTAATTTTGTTCTATCAAAATCGAGATCGTGGAAAAGAAGATTTTTCATCTTAACCAAAAATACTTTATATTGTTTTAAGTCAAGTGATTCGACGGCTATTTTAATGGACAGTTTGGAATTGGCTGCAAATACTATTGTGTGTGTTAGTGATGCTTTTAATGGTCGATCTTGGGTGTTGGAGGTTAGAAAAGACAATAAACCGTGGTATTTACAAGCAGACAATGTTGAAGACATGAAGATTTGGCTAGCAGAATTAAAGGCAACAGTGGTAAAATGTAAATATAAAGAACAAGAACTACCCGATGTTCCCAATCATTTCTTAAAAACGATTGATGATGATGAAGATGATGGTTGCGGAGATATATTTACAACACCAAAAATATCGATGGAAATTCCACCTACAGTAGAGAAATCTTCTGAAGAAAATAATAAGACCTATGAACAAATCTCTCTTCCTCCTCCGCCGAGACCGATCCCTCCTCCACTTCGATCGAAGTCTCGTTCGCCTTCTCCTACAACAAACTTGACATCACCAATTCATCCATTGTCACCTCACCTTATTGTGAATGGTGATGTAGAAGAATTTATTGGGTCCCCAACGAAATTAGACCAGAAGACATCAGAATGTACATCACGTCCTTCTTCTCCAGTTGAGACTTTATCACCACCAAGAACGAGGCATGGTCAGGTCATACCAAATGAGCACGCAACATATTCTGACCCTAATGATATACGAGAATTATCACATGTGAGAAATGATCCTGGCCCTATGAATATAGGATCATCAATAAGCACAGTTACACCACCTCGTAAACGTCTCTCTCCACCCATAAAAAGGGAAGAAAGAAATAGCATTAGACAAAGTATTCCGATAATTATGCCAACAAACTTTTTTAAGACAAATCAGCATAATGCTATTATAGGGACATCATTACCACCACCTCCTCGTTCGTCAAGATCACCTCCTCTTATAAGATCTGAAAATTCATTTACACCAGAAGACCTACTATCTATTAATCAACTTGGACCTCCACCAAGTATTCCCTTACCTTTACCTCCTCCTAGACCAAAATGTACAATAACCCAAAATTCAGTACCTAGATCAAGAATTTCCAATGATACATCAAGACCATCATCATATGATAGAGTAAAAACATTAACACCAACACGTTTTACAAATTCAAATCTCATGTCTCGTACAATGATTCATCCACCTCCTTCTCTCCCACCTCCGACTATACCATTACCACCGATACCAGCAGAATCAACGGACAATGATATATCAGTGACACGTAATTCAACATCCGTTATAACTGAAACAATAATTGAGTATCCCGATGATGACGATTTAGATCCGGATTATGCAGAAGAATTAGAGGCATCCCGTCAAAGATCACAAAGGACGGAGAACAATACTTCAACTACAAAAACTATTTTCTTTACCATGTCTGACGTAGTTGATTAAAAGCTTATAAGCCTAGCTGAGTTGATAATTTCGATGCGGCTAAGCCGGCTTAGTCGACTATGATCTTCAATTAAATATGCCAATATGCCACTAATAAGTTATAATCCGGAAACTTTCACTGGTCACGTTCGTATTTATGTTGTATAATATTCCGAAGTAAAAGAAAAAAAAAAAAGAAAAAAAAAAAAAGGGAAAGGGAAAGAAAAAAAAGGAAAAGAAAAAAACGTTGCGTAACATTTCCAAAATTTAAAAAAAAATCGTTGCGCAGCATTCTTAAGTGAAGCTGCGGTGATACGATGCCTGTTAGACGTAGCCGTCGATGATCATAGCTAGAGGTTGAACCGGGTTTATTTTTCTTTTTCAACATTACGCTAGAGGTACGTCTGTGTATGTGCGCAATTTACGGATTTTATTGGTTGTTTATAATGCGGTCTGTCTATCTGGTATTTCTAGTATATATATTAAACCCGATTTTAACATGAAAATAAAATCGGTTTCAAATTTATAGGTTAACTTTTTCTGATTAATTGATTATTTACAATTGTATTTATACAGTTTAGAGTATTTTTTTTTTAAATATTGTTAAAACGTATTTATAGTGTTTTATATTTATGTATATATTATCTTAAAATTTGGTTAGTCCGGTGTATGATTTTTTAAGTAAAAATATTTTTTTCAAATTTAAATACATATAATTTTAAATACTAATCTTAATATAAAAAATTTTAGTTAAAAATTTTATATATAAAAATTTAAAAAATTCAAAAAAATATAAAAAATAAATATAAAAACACTGTAATATACTATATATACATATATACAGTAATAAGTTTTTAAAATATATAGTATATTTATACAGATATAATATATTTTTTTGAATATTAAGATAATGTTTTGAAATTATTAATTATATACTGTATGTTTTATAAATAAAAAAATAGGTTTATTAAAATGTAGTATATTTTTTTGGATATTGCTAACTTGCCTTCTGATTAACATCATCTTCTTATTATAACTCAAAAACGGCTTAAATAACTATGTTTAGTATATTAAGTAAAAATATTGGCCTTTATCCTACACCTCTAATAACTTCCAGACTATGTATAAACTGTTCTTTTGTTTTTATAATTTGGCAATCCTGCCTCTGTTTATTTGAAATTAAGCTATTCAAGAATTATACATTTCTATTTATAGTTATTGTTAATCTAACCAAACTAAAGACTCACTTCTGGCTTTTGCCTAGGTGCAATCTGCCTCAGTAGTTCTTGGCCTTCTTTCAGATCCTTAACTTACTAAGAATTTATTTCCCTTTGGTCATTGGCTGGCAACTACCCACCTTGTTAGTACTATCTAATTATATTTATATTCCACAACGTAATTGCGCTTTGGCCATGGTCAGTACTTGAAACAATGCAAAACATTGAATCGTTAATCTTAAAATAAGATTATTACATTGTGTATTTTTTATTCTATATATTCAAAAGATTCTACTATTACTTAATTTTTTTTGTGATCTTTTATAGTTATCCCAATTCATCTTTTTATACTTCATTTCCTTTCTTTCTACTAGTAGTCTGCTCTGGTGCTTCAATCTTTTATTTTTCCTTTTCTTTTTGTGTTTCTTCCAGTTTCTAAGCTTTACCTTATTTTTTTTGCTCTTAATAATATTTTTTATACAGATTTCCTCCAGAAGTATTCATCTGTAGCTCTTTTCTTCTAGTTTCTTCGATACTACAGTATTATATATACGAAAAAGCAACCAAAATTTTTTGCACAATCACTATATGCAAAAATTGATATGGCTTTTAAGCGAATTCATGAAGCTACAAATGAGTGAGAAATTTGTGTATATTATATAAATTTATATATTTTTTTTGTTTGTTCTTTACTCTTTTGTCTGCCTTGAAATTGAGTTCGTTCTTGGCTAATGAGTGATTCTTTCCACCTAATTTTCCATTAATTTTAAGAGCAATATTTTCGCAAATTTGCATCCATTTCGTCCTGTCATGCTTTCAGAAATAATACATTGTGATATGACACCCAATTTAACACCACAATTTTTTTTTATTTGTGGATGTATTTCAGAAGCACCATTTATTTTCTTTGAATGATACATATTATTAATTAGGGTGGCTTAATTTTGTTGGAAGATATTGCATTTGTGCAGCAATTATTAACGACTTTTTAAATAAAAATAAATTAAAAGTCAATTAAATCAATCCAATAATAATTCAGTAACTTATAATAATAATTTAGTAATTAAAATTTTATATTTACTTTTTTATAATCGCCTTGGGGTTACCATAGTTGATTAATGGTGTTTTGTTTTGTACATTCTATATAAGTGAAAAATAAATAATATTAACTCAAATGCTAATATGCTAATATATGAGAAAATAAACATAATGATCAAATTATAAATACTTTCCAGGCCTTTTAAAGATAATGCTTCCACCAATCGTTTAATTGCATTTTGGACACGAGACTCAGGCAAAGTTGAATACAACAACAGATCAATTGTATAATTTAGCATCCTAATACAGTATAAACCAAAAAATTTTTATTAGAATTAAATTTGTTATTGTTATTAACAAAAATAGTTAAATATACCTTGATAAATCTTTTAGATTCCCAAGAACCTAATTGGGGAACAATTTCTGAGTTTTCGTGTGAAATTAACTTTGAAGCAGGAATTACTCGAGCTAGTAAATATGAAAATAAAATGAACCATCAAATTTAATTAATATATGATATTATAAGATCATAATAACAACTTACACTGTAATTTAACGAATTGAGATCCAACCTCCATTCCAATTGACCGTAAGGCAGAAATCAACCAAATGTTGGTAAATATGATTATTTGCAAAAGTAATTTTATCGAATCTTTCTTTCGGTGGAGTAGCAGTTTGATCGACCATGTCATGTAATTGTGTCTGAGTAAGAGAATCGGTACTATATTTTTGACCTAATAAGATGATTAAATAAGAAGATTTTGAATAAAAATTATTATTATATATAGAATTGAAAGAAAGAAAGAAAGACCAAAAACAGTAAAACTAACCAGAAATTACAACACAAATTTCCAAGGGTAAATATATATCACCAACTCTTGGTTTCTCTTGGTTTTTTGATACGAATACATGGAAGCATTGGGAACTGTAAGTTAATGCCATCCTTCTCACATTGTTGAGTGACAGTAGTTCTATTTCTGCCTTGAGTAACTTCATCAGCAGATTTGTATGTAATAGATATGACTTTATGTTTTTGCTTCAAGCCATTACTGCCTCGATAGGTAGTTGTTATATTAACGTCTTTGAAAATTTTTGATAGAACGTCAATATCATAATTGGAAAGTCCACATCGCAAGTCATCTCTTGTTCGTTAAGAATAATTAAGATATTTTGAATAGTTCCATCCCAAGGTTGATCACTATTTTCTTTAATATATTCTCTCATTTCTCTGAGATCAAAAGGACAAGAATATTTAAAAATAGCAGTAAACCGTTTTGGACGACCAACATCATCTTGAGTCGGAATTTGGACCTAAAAAACAATGAAATTCCGATAGAAAGGGGAGTTATAATATGGATCACGAATTAGAAAAAAATTAAAAAATTAAATTATACCTCAAATTTCTTAGTCTCAGAACTATTACAAAGATCAGGAACAGAATATACTAGATTTCCATCATATGCAGGTGAAGCTCTTTCACCAAAATTTTTTTCTTTGCACATTTGAAGAAAGACAGCTTCTAAATTTTTTTTATTTGCTTGTCGTAACAATAAAATTTTATCTTGCTATAATCCAGTCACATCAAATAAGAGAGCAAAGGTCGAAATTTTTAGCAACCTTTTTATCATATATTTTTTTCAATGCATTATATACAGGTTGAAATATTGTTAAACTAGATCATCTATGGAGTTGGAAAAGATATAAAATCTTGAATAGTTAATGTTGGTAAATCATACACATGTTGAATTGTTGGTCCTTGACGTGATCTATTTATAATTTGATCTATATTGCCTATTTTTTCTACTGTTTCCATAAAACCTAAATGAACTTTCCAAAGATTGTGTACAAAATATAAAACAGAAATTCTGTTTATAGGTAATTTATAAGGTATTGGAATATTGAAAATTTCACGAACACGACACAATGGAGGAGCTGATTGATCCATAATACAGATCCGAAGATTTGTTCCTATTTAAAAAAAATGAAAAATGAATATATTTTAAAAGAATCCATTAAATAAAAAAAAGATAATACTATGTGCCTGCATTAGAAAAAGCTCAATCTTATATAACTTTTCATACAAGGATTCATAATCTAATAAAAATTGGAGATTATCATTAATAAGTTGGATTCCCATTTTTTGTTCTGAATCACGTCTCAGTTAGAATAGCTTATGTAAATCAGATTTAAATTTTTTAGAGTCATTAATGAAAGGACCACCAGAGTTTTCTTCATAAAGTATCTCTTGAATAGTATTAGCTACTTCTATAAGAACCCAGAAGTCCGGCTTTCTTGAATCAGCTTCCTTCCTAAATTCAAAAGCCAATGATCCGGCTCTCTCCCTAGTAAAAAATAAGAGTGAATATCAATAAGTGATTCATGCAATAATAATAATTTAATCAAAATGTTGTAAAAGCAAAATATATATACCATTGCCAAAAGCTTCGCTCGTTTGAAGGATTTGAAATTAACTTTAATCATAGGTCAATAACTAAACGACCCCATATACCCTCCAAGCAATATTCTTGACGAATTATATATTCCCATAAGGAAAAACTAAAAAAAAATAAAAAGGTAAGACAACAGAAATATAGAAAGAAAAATATCAAAAAAATTAGATCTCAGATGTTTACAAATATCTCGGACAAAAAAATAAAATGGCTGAAGTCGATCATTATCATTTACAGAACCAAAATTATCATAACGATATCTTTTTCTATCCGAATAGAATTTATTAAACAATTCCTCAAAGGTTTGTGATGGTTTTTTAAGATAATGTTCAGGAATACGAATTACTTCTTTAAATATAGGAGCAGAAATCACATGTAGGAAATCTTTCTGCGGTTGAGTCAAATCTATTATAAACGATACTATGGGACTATCATATTCAAGCATCTTAATCTCATCCCAAACAATAGTCTTAGCAAATGCCCTTCCAATATCTGGATTCATTATTATGAGTAATTATCCATTTCGACAGATTTGTCTAAAAATATAAATTTATATATACTCAAACTTATATTACCTACAAATATATGTATTTTTTAAAGATTTCTTGTCTTTTTGGATCACCTCCAACTAGTTTGCTTGGTAGAAGTTTCTTCTGTTCAAGAGTTGTGTTGTATTCATCTTCGCACCAAGCAATGAATACACGAGGACTTCAAGACGAAGTTGAAAAAATTTTGCTGTATCACAATTCTTCTCTAGCTTATAATATATAAAAAATTTATATATTAGTAAAGAATTTAGGGTAATGCACAAAAAAAACTCAATAACCCATTATTCATAGCTATATTATATATTGCAAGCGACATAAATGAACGTTACAAACGAAAGCAAGTGACATAAATGAACATTGCGAACGAGAGCAAGCAACATAAATGAACGTTGCAAATGAGAAATAAGAATAACTTCTAAACGTCTAGCATGTATATAATAATACTGTAGAGCAGTAGAAATTACTCTATAAGATACTAATCATTTGATGAAATAGAATAAAAATACCGTAAAATATAAAATAAGTACTTTCTTATTTCCTCTTCTGACCATTCATGTCTATATTTTCGTAAAAAATTAGAAAATAAAGCAGTTTCTTCCTGGAGGTCTTTGACAGGCAAGCAAACTTGATTGTGTGTTCGCCAAATAAAAAAGTCACAACTTGTCATTAAACGTGGGTCATAGATACAAAGGAATTTAGCTAGTATACTAGCAACTGATTCTGAGAAATCTAAGCAGGTTTTACTTGTGGGATTTTTTGTAGAAGAACTTGGACGAGGTCTAAGATAATGATCTTTTCTATTTATAGTATTTAATGTTTTATCTTTTAAGGGCATATATATACTTATTTTTTTTAAGAGTTTGTGATTTAAGAGTTTGTGATATGTTGAACGCAAGGGGGTTTATAAATAGAATTTATCGCGTTTTTACAAAATCGCGTACAAAATTTACAAGCAAACAAAAAATCTGTGCCAGGTTTTGTCGATCATTCGGCATATGATCAATTTCAGACATATAATTTATATGGCCCCTGCATGTTTATGTAACTTCTACACATGCATATTACGTATGATCATATAGATTTTACTAATTTACCCCCAACATCCTATTAGTTGGGATTATTCGTACCAATTTACATGTCACCTTCTGTTTAAAATGTGACATTTTGGTTAGGGTTAGTGGGCGGCAATATACTAAAATTTTGCAATAAATTTTTTTTGTTAGTACGCCAAAGGTGATTTCTTAAACAAATTTTTGAGATAAATATAACTTTACAAAAAAAAAATGATTGTTGTTTTAATCGTTACATTACACCTGATCTTGCACTCTGATTGGCCAAAATTGAAACGTTGAGGTAAATTAGTAAAACCGATCATATAACAACCATAAACCACCCAGGGTCTCTTACATCTCACCTTAATTAGTGAAAAAAAGAAAATTATTAGTAAAAAATCACATAGGTGTCTACTATAAAGGGGGTGGTTTATGTGGCAAATTACGGTATATGTTGTAAATAGGAATAAAGTTTGTAATCCACTTAGATTAGAACAGAATAATTATAATAAAAATCTCAGCCCTATTTATAAAAAATTTATTTTAGTTAAATAAATATACAAATTCAAATTATTTAAAAAAAACAGAGCTTAAGTATTAGGTTATTTATCTATCAACAAGGCATATTTATTTAGCATTGCAATATATTGATCTAGCAGGTGTATATAAAAAAATAATTATATAGTTACTGAAATTTTATATTCATTGAATCCTTATTTAATAATGCTTACTAAAAAATACAACATCAAAGATTTTCATAAAATTACCTATATCTCAATTCTTGATATGAATAATTATTTAAAATTTGAAATGAGAGTCGATTCTACTAAACCAGAGTAAATCTTTAATTGAAGATTCACAGGTGAATACCTATATTATTGCATAATTATTGAAAACATTAATGCTTAAAATGTCAATAGAATAATTGAAGTTAAAATTAGATTAATATAGTTCTGTAATTTACTTTCAACTAAATATAAACTGCAGAATTAAAAAAAAACTTATAGGATGTAGTGACTTAGTGAAGTTGGCAAGTTGTTACACCCCCAAGTAGTAGAACTAGAGTTCGAATCCCATCAGTGACAAAAATTTGAATTTATAGAAAATATATTTGAAAGATTATATCCTATTGGGTTATAGAACCTGTAATGGTAGTCATACCAGCTTGTACTGGAAGGTAGTAGAATAGTAGTGTGATGTACGAGTTATATAAAATCTGAGTGAAGCTACCAAATAAATCTAGTGAATTTATAGGATACGAAAGCCTGCTTGGCAAGACCTGAGTGGAGAGGTAGCACAGATCTTTGACAGTTACTATGTAAAGAATGATCAACCAGATACTGGAAAACTGGATGAGACTAAGGTGTTTGGCAAGGCATTATACCAACCAGGCTATTGGATAACCGGAGGAAGGGTTCTGCCCTTCTGGGCCATCAGATTGTGAGTTTGGGTTTCTAGAGGTATGGAGGGAGTTTGTAAAGTAGGTACCGGAGTTTGGGTGAACTTTACAAGGGCAGTAGTAGATAACTGTAGCAGCTTTGGCTCACAAGTACTTGTTTTCGGACTTGGCATAAGTTATCAAAAAGGCCTAGTCTGGAAATATGTGGAACATAAAAAGATTAGGGGCGTATATACTACATCTTTTCTAGGGTAACCCGGTAAGTATGAGAACTCTACTGAGTTATCTGTCAAATTAGTGCACAAGTAGTATAGCACATATTAATCTAGATGGCCTTTAATGAAGCAGCATAAGGTTATGGGTTGGCATAATTAAAGTGGTGGTGTAGAACGGAAGACCCAAAGAGTTTAATTGAATAGCTCAATTAATAGTAGGTTATAGGTATGGCATCTAGTATAGACCCTAATAATAGGTAGCTACTTAATTAGGCGCTTAAAAAGCACAGGTATGACTAGAATGTACTCTCGTTAACCAAGAATATACTACTAATATACCTAATAAAAATTCGCTCTTCCATGACATTGCAAAGGTAAAAAAAAAAAAAATTATCTTGGCTTTTTAATTAGATTAATAAATGTTATATATCATATTTTTTAAAATTAGACTTTAGAAATGTATTTAATAATTTTTATTTAAATGAGTAATGCCAAAATTGCAAGTTTTTTTGACATTATTCATTTGATTCAATATATCAAAAAACTTACTTTTCAAGATATATAAATATATATATATTTAAAAACTATTTGAAGCTAACAAGTTATTTAAATACAATCTCAAATTTTTCTCAAATTTTTATGAACTTTTCAATATGTGATAATTATTTTAATATTAATGTAAAATATTATAAAGTGATAATATTAATGTCTGCACTTATACTATAAAAGCTTTAATATTATTAATAATACTTGTATACTAAACCAATAAACTAACTTTGTATTATATACTGTAGCAATACTTGAAATATAAAATGCAACTACTAGTTAAAGTTAAAAATTTCTATCAATAATTTTACTAAGATTGTGTATTTTTTTAATTGCTCAAACTTTATATGCTGGAATAATATAAGGGTCAGCATTTTCTTTATTACAAGTCTTTTAACGCTTTACCAATTTAACTTGGATTCAAATTTTTAAACCACTTTTTACACAAACAAGTAGATTAACACTATAGTTAATATCATCAAGAAATAATGTTAATGCAGAAATTGATTTGGCTTTCGTTGCATTATATCATTCAACAAATTTTTCTAAAGCAATTTGAAGCTTAGAACTACAGTTCTCATAATCATGCTTAATTATTTCAAAAAATGATTTAAAAAAGCCAGACTATAAGTAAAAATAAAAATTTTAGATACATTTTAGAGAGGATATAAAAATAAAATAAAATATAATATATATACTTTATAGTTAGATCAACAGATCCTTCAGCCTTCTGGGTATTGTTATTAATATTGGGTTCTTCTGTCTCTTGAGATTTGTTAATATCTTGAAACATATAATTCAATACCGGGTTGTGATTGTGATGTTTGTCATTTATATAAGCATAAAGTGATGCATAAAAAGAGTGATCATTTGATATAATTCCTTAAATTTTAAAATAAAATTGTTATATACAGTATATATAAATTTATATATATGTTTAGTGTATATATAAAAATTTTAAATTATGTATTGTACATATTTTTATGCATATAAAATAAATATTAATGCAATAATTTAAAAAATAATTAATCTCTTATGTACTATGCCCAATATATGCAAAAATTGCACGATTATAAGACATCAATGATTGAAAAACATTTAATAACTCAATATGGTATTTAGCACTACCACACTTTAATGTTTGTATAGAGCTTCAGATAATTTAATAGAATAAGTATATATACAAATTTCGATATTGATAGTGTAAAATAAGTTAGTTTCATTTTTTAACTTGGAACCAAATATATTATATCTACTTCAGATTGTCAAATTTCTGCTGCATTAATTTGGTCTCATCTAGGACACAAAAATTATTTAGCAATTTGAAGGTAACCAGAATAACTATTTGCTAATCCAAGCAATCAATGCTTATAAAATCGCTCTATGCTTCTAGTAATAATCTGAAATACTTGAACACAATTGTATACTTGTATATATATGAATATGATATCTTTTAATAATCTAAAAGTACATTTTATATAGTTGTTTGTGTTATTTCTATGAATAAGAAGTCCAAAATAAAATGATATTGCCCATAATTGCCATCTATTCCAAAGTAATTTAAAATGTCTTTGCAACAGTGGATATATAGAATAGTAGTTGATCTTTAATTCATTATAAAACATCATCATTTCAATTTCTATTTGTGTATATAAATTTTTTTCATAATTTCATTATAAACACCTTGTGTTCTTTACTTATATTGTGTTTTGGGTTATATAACCGATATCAGAAGGCTTGAA